ACAGTTTCTCTGGTCCTGCTTACTTTAGCACAAGCCTGGGATTTGGCCAGACCTCCCCAGAACGGACCCGCCGTGGGGCGCACGCTAGTCGTTCTTGTGGTGCCGGCAGGTGCCTGTCTGATGGCCCTGGTGACGGAGTCCTGCCTCCAGCTGCCCCGCCAGCCTGGCCCTGCAGAGCCACCCTGGGGTGGGAGAGGAGCTTCCTCTCCGTGTCCCGGCTGCTGATGCACAGGGCTGGTTCTGATTGGGGGGGATTATGTGATGAGCCCAGGGGACACCACCCGTTTGCCAGGACTCCGTGCACATGCGGGGGTGTCTCTGGGCATTGTCTGGCGCTGACGATGCCCAGGCCGGGGACAGCCCCGCTGGCTCTCGGCAGGCGAGTGAAGGGGTCGGGACCGTGTTTGTGGCAGGGAAGCCTGTCGTGTCACTGCCCTGGCTGCACCCACTCTAGCTAAGCAGAGAACTGCAGACTCCAGGCCTGTGGGGCTGGCACTGCCCCAGACAGGCCTTGGGGTTTGCAGGTGGTTGGGAGCTGAACCCTGTGGGGTGGGGGCAGGGAGAGGGGTTGGCTAGAGAGGTTCCTGGCCTGCTGGGGCTGTGGGGCTGGTTTCTGTGACATGGGCCCTTGCCTGCAGGGAGCTGGCCGAGACCTACCCCACTCGAGCGGCCGTCTGGTGGGAGCGACGCCTGCGGCCGCTCCTCAGGCCTGGGACAGGTGACCCAAAGGCGAGCGGCTCAGTCTCGCGGTGCGGGGTCTGTGCCAGCGGCCGAGGGTCTGGCGTGCCAATGGGAGGAGGGCTGGGGGCGGACGAAGGGCATGGGGGGCAAGGGCATGGCTGGTGTTAATGAGCTGATGTGTCCCCTCCTCCCCGCCGCAGGTCTCTCTGGGAGGGACGGCAGGAGACGGGATGGATGATCGGAAACCGCCCAGCCAGGCCAAAGACTGTGAGGTGCCAGGTGAGTCCGGGGCAGGGGGGTGGAGCCAGATGGGGCATTGCTGGGGGCACCCATTGCAGCACTGCCGGAGCTGCCTGGCCTGGAGGCCGGAGGCTACCCTGAGCCGTTGCCAAGGGCTGCAGTGTGGCACGGCACAGGGGTATGGCCCGTGCCTGGTGAGATGGGGCCGCACGTCCCCATTCTCCATCCCACAGAAACAGCCAAATTGGCCACATTTTACCTGGAGTTTTGGGGCATTGTTACATGGGAATTGCCAGCTCCTATGTGTCCCCCGCTTACCTGAAACTCCTTCCCCTAAAGAGTGGGGTTGAGAGGTTAGAGCTGGGGGGCTGGGAGCCAGGACTCCTGGGTTCTATCCCCAGCTGTATTGTTTGATCTTGGGCTAGTGCCTCAGTTTCCCCATCAGAGCAATGGGTCTGAAACTGGCCCAGCCCAGTAACCAGGGAGCAGCGGTGAGCTGTGGGCGAAGGGCCTGGAGGGGGCCGATGGCTGAATGATCCATGCCATGCTGGGGATGTGACTGGTGAGGCAGGTGGTTCACTAGGCGTTGCACTGTCCTCTTAGGGCCCCGTGGTGCATCCCGGGGAGCTGCCCGGGCTAAGGTGGGGCCGACATGCAGCCGCCCGGAGCAGAGGGATCCCCCAGTGGGACGGCCTCTGCTGGGTGAGGGGGATGCACTCGGTGCCCTGAAAGTAGAAGGGCCGTGCTGAGCCGTGGCAGGGGCTGTGCCTGTGGGGGTGTCAGGGGTGGTGGGGGGGGGAGATTGGTGTAACAGTGTGGGGGCACCTCTGCTGCTGGGATCCTGACGGGGCAGCTCCCCTGTTGCAGCCGACGGGGGTGCGTTTTCGGAAGAGCGGGGTGGCACGGAAGGAGACCCCCTGAAGCCGCCGGAAGGGGCCCCCACTGCCCAGGAGCCGGAAGCCAAGGAGCCGCCCCAGGCCTGCAGGTGAGTGTGGGGGGATGGGACAGGGGCAACAGGGGGGGGGGGGGGGGGGAAAGGGGAGCAGAGCCAGGAGTTGGGTGCTGTGATTTAGGGCAGGGAGCAGACAAGGGGAGTGGGTCCCTCCCACCTGAATGATGCCCCAGAGGGGCCCAGCCTGGAGCTCAGGCCCCCGATCCCCTGTCTTGTAGGGAAGCCAAATGGAGCTGCCCGATCGGTGCTGGGACCCAAAAGCCCAGGGGGATGCTGGGATGCCCTCTGCCCCCCAGGGACGGGAAGGAGACATGAGTGCAGGAGGACATTGGAGGGGTCGTGACTGGAGGGGGGGAGGGGAGTGTGTTTCTGGGGGCCCCCCACCCTGCCCCCACTGACTCTGCTCTCGTCTCCGCCCCAGCGCCCTGCCCAGGCGTTGCGCCCTCTGCAACTGCGGCGAGTGGCGCCTGCATGGGCAGGGGAAGCTCCAGCGTTTCGAGCCGGCGCCCGACTGGACTGAGCGTCTCTCCGGGCTGCCGGCCGGGAGGGGCCCTGGCGAGACTCTGGCCCCTGGGGGCGACCTGTCCCTGATCGGCTTCGCGGAGGGGGTGTCGCCAGGAGAGCTCTTCGAGCCAACGGGTAAGCAGCATGGGGCGAGCGTCTTCCTTCCGCGAGGCCTGCTGGTGCCACTGCTACCCCTGCCCCCTGCTGCCCCAGCCCTAGGCTCCCCACCCCCAGCTGTACTGGTGCCCCCTGCTGCCCCTGCCACCCCAGCCCTAGCCTCTCACACCCCCTCGTTCTGCCAGTGCCCCCCCGCCCAGGGACACAAGCGCAAAGGCTGCTGTGGAGCTCGGGCGTCTCCTTCCTTTTCAGGCACTTTGTGCCCCCTCCGTGGGGTCCCGAGATGTCTCTGTGGAGGGCTCCCCACCCACTGGCAGAGTTCTGGAGAAGGATAGCGGGGGGCTCCTACCTTGACCCCGCCCCCCTTAACACCTTGCCTCCCCTCGCAGGGCACTGCTGGGCCCACCACTGGTGCGCTGCCTGGTCGGCGGGGGTGCAGCGGCAGGCCGGAGCTGGGCTGAGCAACGTGGACAAAGCTGTTTTCTCAGGGATCTCGCAGGTGAGGGGGTGGGGGCGAGCAAATGGGAAGGGGAAGGAGGGCCTGCGGGCCCCCGGCATTGGGGTGGCCGTGGGGGGGTAGGCGACCCCTTGGGCTGCGCTCATGTGGGGTGTCTGGCTAATCAGAGTGGAGCCAGTGACCCCCCCGGGAGGGGAGACCTCTGAGGAAGGGACGGGGTGAGGGGACGGGACATTCCCCTCCGCCAGCGCTGGGGTCCCGATGCTGCCACAGGTACTGTCCCCCATAAGAGGTGGAAAAGTGAGGCCCTGCCCCTGGGCCTCTCAGCACAAACCCTGGCCTCCTGGGCAAACACCAAAGGGGTGTTTGCATTTACGTCCCTGATTTCCCACCCACAGGCTGCGCCCGGATAAGGGCTTCTCCTTCACTTCCTGTCCTAAACTGCCAGGCTGTTAATCAGCTGCCCTGCTCCCCTCAGGGGGTGTCTGCGTATCTGTGCTGCGTGAGCGATCACTGTGCGAGCAGCTGCCATGTCCCACCCCAGAGGTGGCTGCATCTCAGCCCCAGATGAGGGATCCTTGCCTCATGTTGCTTCATAGCTGCTAAGCAGCTGCCGCACCTCACCCCAGAGGTGGCCGCATGTGGGGGCTGGTGGGCTCTTGGGGATCGCCCTGGCGGAGCCAAGCTGTGGCAGCGTCCATCCATCCGCATCTCTGACCCGGGCTGGGGTCCCTGCTGCTTTCAGAAATGTGAACACTGTCAGAGGATGGGTGCTACCATTCAGTGCCACTCGGAGGGGTGTCCGCGGCACTACCACTTCCCGTGCGCGGCGGCCAGCGGCTCCTTCCAGTCCATGAAAACCCTCTGGCTCCTGTGCCCGGAGCACGTGACCGAGGCAGTGCAGATGGGTAGGTGCCGCCCCGTTAAGAAGGGCAGGGACAGGGGCTGCTTGGGGGCACCTCTGCCACTGGGTTGGTGGAGTTTTGGAGGGGATAATGGGAGCCTTAAGGAGCTGGGGGAGTGGGGTCTAGTGGTTAGATCAGGGGCCTGGGAGCCAGGACTCCTGGGTTCTATCCCAGCTCTGGGAGGGGAGTGGGGGCGAGTGGTAAGAGCAGGGGGCTGGGAGCCAGGACTCAGATAGGGGAATTGGGACTAGTGGTTAGAGTGGGTGGGAAGGGGCTGGGAGCCAGGTCTCCTGGGTTCTCTTCCTGGATCTGTCACTGCTGTGATGGATGTCGGTGAGGTGCTGTGAGATCCTTGAGGGGGAGGGTGTGTTGCTAGCCAGGGGGACGCCCTATGGCACAGGGCTTTGAGGGGAGAGGGAGAGGCTGGGCATCCCGGGCAGTGCGGGTGCAGGAGGGTTTGTTTCCCTAACTCCCTGCCCCCCACGCCCAGAGGACTCGCGATGCATGGTTTGCGACGGGCCGGGGGACCTGCGCGACCTGCTCTTCTGCACCAGCTGCGGGCTGCACTACCACGGCACCTGCCTGGACGTCCCCGTCACGCCGCGCAAGCGCTCTGGCTGGCAGTGTCCCGAGTGCAAAGTCTGCCAAACATGCAGGTAGGTGGCAAAACCACGGGCACGGGCCCTGTGTGACCCGCACCAGCCTTCCTGGTCTGGGGAGGGGGGGCTGGGAGCCAGGACTCCTGGGTTCTATCCCCAGCTCTTTGAGAGGAGTGGGGTATAGTGGGTTACAGCAAGGAGAGGGCCTGGGAGCCAGGACTCCTGGGTTCTATGCCCAGCTCGGGGAGGGGAGTCTAGTGGGTTAGAGGCGGGGGGCTGGGAGTCCGGACTCCTGGGTTCTATCCTCAGCGTTGCTCTCTCCAGAGAGCTGTGGGGAGGCCGGGGCGGCGCTCAGTCTGTGAGGGGCCCGGGGCTTGTCTGACAGCAGCGTCTTCCCTGCAGACAGCCCGGCGCGGACTCCATGATGCTGGTGTGCGAGGCCTGTGACAAGGGCTACCACACGTTCTGCTTGAAGCCGGCCATCGAGAGCCTTCCCACGGACTCCTGGAAGTGCAAGGTGGGCTCCACACCTGCATCACCTGCAGGGGGCGCCCCGGGGAGGCCGGGCCCGGCCAACTGCCAGGGTGGCATCTGCTCCGGGGCCCTGGCCGCTCGTCCCACGGAGCCGGCCCTGCTTTGCTTCACCTGATGCCAGCGCCCCCGGGGGAGGGACCAGGACCCCCAGGCCCACCTCCCCCATAATCCAAGGGGAGGAAATCCCTGCACAGCACTGACCCTGAGCCAGCCAGTCCCCCACTCCTGCCCTGGGGCTTGGTCAGAGCTGGTGCCACCCAGAGGGGAAATGCCCCATTCCCCACCCCACTGAGCCAGCCAGTCCTTGACCCCTGCCTTGGGGTCAGATCAGATCCACTGCCCCCTAGAGGGGGAAGGCCCCGTGTCCCATTCTCTGCCCCCCTGACTGTCTGTCTCCCTGCAGAACTGCCGGGTGTGCTCTGACTGTGGGTCACGGCCGGCGGCGCTCGACCCCGGGTGCCACTGGTATGAGAACTACTCGGTGTGTGAAGGGTGTCAGCGGCACCGGAACGCGGCGGGAGGCACCGATGCCGCGCGGCGCTGCCAGAGCTGCCAGAAGTGAGTTGCAAAGGGGGTCCCCTTGGAACTGCATGGGGGTCCTGCAGGGGGGCAGGAGGGTCTGGGCCTGGCTGTGCTGGATAGCCCCCCCCACCCCCCCTGTTATAAGCTGCTGAGCCCAGTGCAGCAGGTGCCAGGGGAGGGGCCGTGGGCACCACTGGGTGGGTGCTTTTGGGTCTAGGGTGTGTTCTAGCTGCAGCCCCACTGTGGGGGCCTGGGGAGGGGGGAGGATCCCTCCTCCCCAGCCCCCCAGTCCGCACAGCATCTCTGGCCGGCCGGATGGGTCAGGGGCTCTCAGACACTCCTCATGTGGCTCATCCCCCCAGGCCCTTGCCCCCGGATGGCAGCGACGTGGCAGGGGGTTCCACCTGCCTGGCGTGTCAAGGGCAGCAGAAGCACACGCAGCCAGACGGGGCCGTGCCCCAGGAAGAGATGCCCTCGGGGTGTGAAGCCAAACCACTAGGTGAGCGCATGCCCCACCCCACGCCGGCCCCACAGCACTGGGGGGGCCCTGACCCCAGCGTGGGCCTGTCAGACTTACCCCTTGGTGCCACGAGTTTCCATCAGCCTCTTCACCACAGCCGGGAGGAAGGGCCCTGGCGTCTGTTCCCAGCTCCAGCACTGACCTGCTGCGGGACCTTGGGCCAGTCCCTCCCCCGTGCCTCAGTTTCTCCCCTTCTTTAAGCCAGCGGTCGTATTTGCTTCTGTCTGGGTGGCCCTGCAGAGAGGTTGGAGCGTGGGAGAGCCCAGGGAGCGTGGGCAAGTGGGGTGTTTGCGTGTCCCCCGGGCTGCGCCCCCATCCCCGAGGGAGGGGTGGGAGCCCAGGCAGAGCCCAGTGGCCCTGCGCTGCCTGCCAGGAGGCACTAGGTGGCGCTGCAGTTGGACCTGCTGATCCAGGGGAGTGGGCGAGGCAGGGTCTCCCCCTCCTGCCCTCCCACAACCAGCCGTCCTGTCCCCCAGGTCCCGCTCCAGAGGCGGAGGAGCCGGAGGAGGCGCCAGACCCGGCAGCACCTGCCAAGGACGAGGCGACAGAGCCGACACCCCCCGAGACGGCCCCTGAACCACCAGCCCTGCCCCCAGCCCCCCCAGGTGAGGGGGTGCCCCATGAACACCCCTGGGGGTGGGTCTACGAGCTCTGCCATTATCTGGGGGGAGGGGGCAGTGGGCCAAGGCTCCCCCAGAGCATTCTGGGAGTTGGGCCCTCTGCTTGGGAGGCTCCGAGCCGACCAATGACGTAGGGCGCTATTAACCCTCTGGGGGCTGGGGGTTCTGCACCCCCACGAGAGTGACCGTCGCCCTTGATTCTCTCCCCAGACCCCCCCGTTGCCACGTCGCCCGCCCGCCCGGAGGAGCGGCCACCGGATGCCAAAGAGGAACTGGCCCCCGAGCAGCCAGCGGGACCCCCTGCCATCACTGCGGCCCTGCTGGAGCCTGCGGGCAGCCCCCAGCCCCCCACGGAGAAGGCCGCTGCTGGCGCCCCCCCCGCCCCGGACAGAGACGCCCCCCGCAGCCCCCCTGCCAGGCTCCCCTGCTCCCCAGCTGGGCCCCCCGCAGCCCAGGGAAGCGATGGAGTGTGGGGAGGAGGAGGGGATGGACACGGCAGGGGGCGAGGCGGGGTCCCTGGCCAGCCCTGCGGAGGATGGCGCCCAGCACACCCCAGCTGTGGCCCTGGGGCCGTTCCCAGGCTTGGCGGGGGAGGAAGAGGAGGAGGCAGCTGCTGGGCTGGAGCAGGCAGGGGCCGGGGGGAGGGGCTCTCCCCAACTGAGTGAGGACGGGCTGGAGGAGAGCCGGGGCCGGGGGGATCCTGAGTCCAGCCAGACCCCGGTCAGCTTCACCAGCGAGCCTAAGGGGTCCCCCATGCTGCTGGAGCCCGAGGAGCTGGGCCCAGCCACCCCGATGGAGGTGTATGGGACGGGCGGGAAGCTGCTGGAGCGTGGGGAGGAAGTGGGCCCCGAGCCCCCCATCCTGCGGCCCCGTCCCACCCTCATCAAGTCAGACATCGTCAACGAGATCTCCAACCTGAGCCAGGGCGACACCAGGAGCAGCTTCCCCGGCTCGGAGCCCCTGCTGGGCTCTCCGGACCCCGAGGGCGGGGGCTCGCTCTCCATGGAGCTGGGCATGACCTCCACCGACAGCCTGCAGAAGGACGACGCCGGCTCCCTGCCCCACTGCACCGACTCGCTGGCCGAGACGGACGACTCGCTGCTCTTCGAGCCAGGCGCTGGGGCCAAGGGCGAGGGGGAGAAGGGGCGTCGGCGCAGCTCGCCGGGGCGCTCCCGTGTCAAGCAGGTAAGGGGGGACCGGGGCACGGGCAGGCAAGGGGGGGTGAGGGTACAGGGCGTGGCGGGGGCACCAGGATGGGGGGGGCTCTCGCTGTCCCTGCTGGGCTCGGGCCTGGCTCTGGGCACCCCTTCACCACATGCTGTGCGCCCCCCCCCCCCCCCGCCAAGCTCAGTCAGGCTGGCCCCTGCACCCCCCCCAGCTGTCAGTGCCACCCCCTGCTGGCCGTTTTGCTGAGGTGCCGGGTGGGGACAAGGGGGAAGAGGGGTAGCCCCTATGGGTCCCGCCCCGCCCACGAGTCCCGGGGGCTGTGCCATCTCCTGGTGCCCCCTGGAGTGGGCAGGGGGCCGTGCCGGCTGGAGCAGGTTCCCTGGCTCTGGGAAGCCTGGGTGTTGCTGTAACCCCCCCCCTCCCTCGGCCCTAGGGTCGCAGCAGCAGCTTCCCGGGGAGGAGGCGCCCCCGAGGCGGGACCCAGGGGGGCCGGGGCCGGGGCCGAGCTCGGCTGAAGTCGACCACCTCGTCCATTGAGACCCTCGCGGTAAGGCTGGGCTGGGGGGGGTTCTGCGTCCCTGCGTTGCCCCCCCGGCCCTTGGAAGCGGCTGCTGTGGGTCCCCTCGCTCCCCAGGGTGGGATCCGTGGGGGGCCCAGGCCACTGCCGGTATCTGGAGCATTGGGGTTGGTGAGTGACACCTAGGAGCCTTGTACTGATGGGCTCTGACCCCCCAACCCCCAGTGGCTCAAACCAGAATTGGTAGCATCTCTCCATTGGGCAGTCGGCGGGATTGGTGGGTATGGGGGGGTCCTCTCCCCTCTAGGGGGCGCCGGCTCAGATCCCAGGCCGGGAAGACTGGCTGGCTTGGGGGGGACATGCCTCCAGGGGGCTCTGGGTTTGATGAGCTCTAGGGTGGGTGGGGGGACTGGCTGGGGAGAGAGGGAGGACAGGGCCTTTCCCCTCATGGGCTGGGGGGTGCTGCAGCACATCCTTCTCCCCCAGTGTCTAAGCCAGGCCCCTCCCCAGCCTTGCAGGGGGAACCTGGTGCTTCCATCTCTGGCTCAGCCGGCTAGATTGGCACTGAGCGTTGCCCTGGGGTGCCCGGCTTGGTGTGGGGGTCCGTGCCTGCTCCGTCGGTGACGTGTTCGCCCTGTCTTGCCCGCTCCCCCAGCTAGCGGATATCGACAGCTCCCCCAGCAAGGATGATGACGAGGAGGAGGATGACACCATGCAGAACACCGTGGTGCTTTTCTCCAACACGGACAAGTTCGTCCTCATGCAGGTGGGGGAGCAGATGGGCCTCATGGGGAAGGAGGGGGGTTCTGGGGAGCAGAGGAGCCGGGTTCCGGGCTCGGCCCGGGGGGCGGGGAGGAGGGGGGGAGCCGGGTTCCGGGGTGGGAGGAGGGGGGGAGCCGGGTTCCGGGCTCGGCCGGGGGACTCTGTGTCTCTGCCCAGCCCCCCCCGACGTCTGTCTCTCCCTGGCAGGACATGTGCGTGGTGTGCGGCAGCTTCGGGCGCGGGGCGGAGGGGCACCTGCTGGCCTGTTCCCAGTGCTCGCAGTGCTACCACCCCTACTGCGTCAACAGCAAGGTAAGGTGGAGTGGGAAGCGCTGGATCCCCCAAGCCGCAGTCTGGGCCCCCTGCCCTGGTGCACCTTTGGGAGCAGCTCTCCCCCTGCACCCGGGTTCTCCCGTCAGCTGCCATTTCACATGGGCCCCAGTGCTGCTGGGCCCCTTCCAGCGTGGGGCTGGGGTCCCTAGGGCAGGTCCCGCAGGCTGCGTGCCTGGGCCTTGGACACGCCTTCCTCTCTGCCCCAGCAGAAGTGCTCTGAGCTGGGTCTGGTGTCCTGGGCAGGGGTGTGACCTCTGTGCCCATTGATCCTCCCCCTTCCGGTGCCAGCCCTGCGGGGGGGCGGGGCTCCCCTCCCCGTGCCAGCCCTGCGGGGGGTGGGGCTCCCCTTCCCCTGCCCCCTCCCCGTGCCAGCCCTGCGGGGGGCGGGGCTCCCCTCCCCGTGCCAGCCCTACGGGGGGCGGGGCTCCCCGCCTGCCCCCTCACCATTCCAGCCCCGCTGTGCTCCCCAGATCACCAAGGTGATGCTGCTGAAGGGCTGGCGCTGCGTGGAGTGCATCGTCTGTGAGGTGTGCGGAAA